CATGATAAAAAATGTCAATTTAAAAGGCCCAAATTAAAAATAAACAACCTAGTACTAGTCAGGCGACTTTTCTTGACGTGTCGCAGCGCGAGGTGAGGTGAGAGGAGGCTATTGCCTACGTCACATCAGACGCGTGTAGCTAACTGTAGCATTAGTAATACTATTCATGCCTCTTTCGCTCTTAATATAGCAGAGCATTATAGACTATGAGTCTAAAAACAAATAATCAAGTAATTAATAGCAACCACCGGTGAAGATAATTAGTGCGTGGTCAAACTGTATTAATGAGATTTGTTATTAATATACGTACTTAATTGTCATCATCTTCTGCATAATTGGAATTATCGCTTGGATCCCAAGTTCCATTTATTTTGATTTCAGCCCTTGCGGTTTCTATTATCCGGACTTTTCCCTTCAATATTTCTAGTTACATTTTGTGAAATAAAAATAATAGCAAATAAAAACTCACGACACAGTAAGGAAAAGCGAAAACGCGAGAACTGAATTTTTTCGGAAACAACGGTAGGCAGCCCTGATAGTCTTGCCGTACCGTTCTGCGTTAGACCAAGATTTTATCCAGTCAGTATCGAGTTGTGCTGGGTGACCTCGAGGGATCTCAAGCGTCAAGAAAAGCACATTATAACCATATGAACAGTGCGCCTAGTTCAGCAACGTATAGGCAATTTGCAACGCTTACGTGTATATACCGTAAGTGAACATACAGGGGTTAGTTAATATAGATTAAAATTGGTATATACGTTAATACACAATCTGAAGAATGACAATGAACGCAATATTTGAGATTGATCGTACTATTTCAAAATCTCTTTCGTATATATAAAATGTTTGCTTTGTCTTCACGGTTGGAGAGCTTGCAAAGCAAATTTATAGCCCCAATTGAATAGTACATACAAACTAGGAAAATCGACCTTAAAACCATGAAATGGAATGAAACGAACTGTAAAACTACAGAAAAATTCAATGATACACAGATATTGCGACTTGCACTGCTTAGGATGAACTGCATTACACAATTAAGAAAAAATACCAAATAATACGGCAATTTATCATTACTTTTCCAATAAATAAGAAAAATACATTTTTCTAAGAAACGTCAACTGCTGTAGTATAACGAACATCCATAATCAGTAACAATATAATATGATAGTATCACAAAATGTAATTTTATTTGCATGCGTTATTGCATGGGCTCATATTTTTGAAAACGAGTGACGTTAAGAGGAGATTTTCAAATTTGTACAAATGCATTAAAGCAATATTTTAAAAGAGTACGCCATTTATTGTATAACCGCATTAAAAATTTTTAAGAAACTCAAAGATAATTTTTGTAAACAACTTTTTTCCTTTTAATTTTAAGGTAGCATCAACAACTAGGTCATTAGCGACCACTATAAATATTAACGGCATGAGTAACATTATGATACGATACGAGTATGATGATAAGGGGTGAAAGGACGAGCGCAAATATAACCCTGGCCGAGTCGGGACTCGAACCCGCAATCCTTTTGAGTACGAGATCGCTACGGAACTACTGCCTTAACGATCTCGACATTGTGATACGCACGTAGTTGCATATTCGTGCGTGTACTCAGACACGCGATCACGCGTCTTTTGGGTGTATGAAATTCTACTGACACCTACTGGGAGGCTTTTATAGAACGTAGTTTTATAGAACGTTCAATTTTTCTCTATATTTGTAATTAAATCTTACACCACAATTTGCAACAACTTTTTGGGTATTCGAATATTACGTTGCCTCCCGTTGGGTGTTGCCTGCTGTTAGGTACAATTTCATACACCCACAAGGCGCGCGATCGCGTGTCCGAGTACACGCACGAATATGCAACTACGTGCGTATCACAATGTCGTCACGCATGTGCGTGTACGGTGCGCGTGTGATGCATCCGCAAGCGCGTGCTTGTACGTACGCATTTGCAGGGCTGCGGCGTGTGTTTGAGCACATACATACGCCCCTGGTCGCAGCGCACACATGCGCGAGTTCGTGTTTCAGCACGTGAATTATGCGTTCAAGAGCGTGCGGACGTATTGCGCGCGAAGGCACACGTACACGAACAGGTGACGGGAAGCAATCTTACGGGAAAACCCGGGCGCGAAAGCGTGGGTGGGTGAGTGTTCCTCGCCTCGCATCTGCCGAACCGCCGGCGATTTCCACATACTGCCCATCAAGGACCATTCACAATGTAAACAAACATAAGCATGGCTTTAACATAAAAGTTAGGACTACGTCCACAAGAGGACTCATCCACAATGCGTTCTCATAAGCATAATACGTAAGATGTTAACTTTAAAGCTTGCAAGCTTTAAGCTTCTGTAGGTATGCTTAAGTAAGACATTGGAAATGAACCAATCACAGTACGTGAACTCAGAATCGAGAATCGAAAGGAGGAGGGAAGTCGACAGACGAACTATCGCCATATGGATCATGGACTCAGTCGATACCTTGAAAACGATTCTTATATCCAACCAATAGTAAAATAGAATGTCTCACAGCCGATAGAAACTCTTATTTTGCTTACGTTTATGTTAGGCATTGTGAATACTTCCGTCTATCACTTATGTTAATGTTTACGTCCATGCGTTATGCTTATGATTGTGTTTGCATTGTGAATGGGCCTTTATGTGCTCCCAGCCCATCGCAACGCGTAGTCCGCAAGTGCGTGGCGCAGTCCGCAAGAGATAGCAAGTGCGTGGCGCGAAGTGGGGGTTGAACGGGCGTGGCGGGAGAGGCGTGGCACGCGTGGCGTGGCGATGTGGGTTGGGCTGCGTGCGAGGCGAGGAGTGGGGAGAGGGGAGAGGCGTTCGCAGGAAGCGGGGCGCGTGGGGGTGGGGTAGAGGGTTGGGTGTAGGGAGTGTGGGTTGAGGCTCCTCGCAAGGAGATACGGACTTTACTGATAAGGCGATACGGATTCCAGTTGCAGGGTGCGGGCGGGCGGGCGCGGGTGAGAGTCGAGATGTAGGCGGAGGTAGTAGGGTGCGGGTTCATGTCTGGGGAAAGACAGGGTGAGTTGGATTGGAGAGGCGCGTGGTGCGAGGTATTTGGTAAGGGCGTGCGGCGGCGGGTGGTGTGGGGAGTGATGGTGGCGAGGGCAGGTGCGGGGGGGGGCGGGGGCATAATGTTGCGTGAGTAGCTACTTGTGAGCGCGAGGTGCGGGTGGTGAGTGGAGCGCGGGAGTGATGAGAGCTAGTGTGGCAGAGGTGGGGGGGGGAGCGTTGTCGTGTGGGTTCTATGCGAGTCCACAGGTCGGAGAGCTGCGGGTGCGAGGCAGGGAATGAAGTGCAAGGATGAAGGCAAGATGGACCTGGCGTGGCAAAGTTAAGACGGTGCGGGTCGCTGGCCGGGGCAGAGAAGAGTCGTGCGTAAGAGGGGGTGGCGAGCGAGAGGGTGGGATGTGAAGGGAGGGCGAGGTGGAGCTCGTTTGGGAGAGGGTGGGGGCCGATGAGAGTCGTCCGTAGGGAGGGGGTGGCGAGCGGGGCGAGGCCGAGGTTGAGATGACATGGAGCGGAGGGAGCGAGAGTTGAGCGAGAAGTGTGTCAGCCTGGGGAGTGAGCTGAGGGCGCGGTGGGCGCGCGGGGCGGGGCGGGGCGTGCGAGTGGCGTCGGCCGCGGCGGCGACTGGGCTCCGCTGGCAGCGCGGTCGGCGCTCGCATCCTCCGTGAATGGCGGTATCTCGACGGCCGCGGAGGGCTAATCTTCATCTGCATATTCATGTGCGGCGTCAAATGGTGGCGAGGTGCCAGCGGCGCGCGACGCGCCCGACCCTGGCGGCGGGTTTCGGGGACGCGCGGCGGCGGAGGCGGCGGAGGCGGCGGCAGCTCGCGAGAATGAAACGGGACGGCCCGGATTTCCTAATTTGTCTGGTCGCGCTGCGGACTCGAAATGGCAGACACGATGGGCTTATAAAACTGGGGGGATTCTGCTGTTGTATGTGGCTGTCTCAACATGAGACGTCCCGCGCTTCGGAGCCGGATGGTTAGATACAAAACGGTGCGCCGTGTTGCTTGGGTGCGGTGACATCACGTTTGGCATAACTTCGAGATTGTCATTTCACAGCTGGAGATACGTAAATCTGGTAGTAGAATTAGTGGAATAGTAAATGTAATGATAATTGATTTCAGATCCTAAAGAAGTGAAAAGAAGTTTTCTTCGAATTAACGAGAATTTAAATAATTTATTGGAGTTATACCATGTTCTGAGAATATACAATGAATGAGAATATTCATCATACATTTGCGAAATTTTACCAATACAAATATATCAACATATAAACGTAGCTAGAAAATAGACATTGATTTGTATTTTTCCAGTCTTCCTAGATTTGTAACAAAATCAATGGCATCGTACAAACACTATCAAGCGCCTCCATTGTTTCTGACAATTTATGAGTAAATTTGAAATTAATGCAATAAAGTACAGATGATAAACGAAAATTAAGTTCACGTTTTGTGTCTTTTTAGTACTGTTTATTTTTTTCTTTCATTAAACAAAGAGACCAATTCATTATCCCAATCCTCCGAAACCCATTCTGTAGAAAACAATACATACGTTTCGACAGAAATAGTTAATCAAGTCGTCATGCCATCAACAACTGGTAATTCTCTGCTAAAAGGCATATTCAAAATTATGAACAAAGAGATCACAACAAACTCTTACAGAACCATTAAATATCAAAGTAAACGGGATGAATGACATCCTGTGTTGAACTTCAAAAACTAGGTAAACAGCTGCAGAAACTAAGTAAAATATTATTGTGCAATCTGGTAAAGTTAATATGCAGTGCATATTTGAGAACTCATACAATGCCGAAGAGTTTAACATTTCGAGTATAAAAACTCGTCAAGTGCAACAAGTGAACGAGTCGGTTGTTAATACTACACGTTCACTAGTGACCGCGAACATAAATTCATTACGTCTTTGTTTATATGATCTGTTGCGTAATTAATTGTGAATCTCTCTCTCACCTCGAAGTCCATGAGGCACCGGAACAGCACCACGAGGCAGCAGAGGAAGAAGAGCGCGGTGGCGAGGTTCCGCGCGTCCCCGAGCGACGCCACCAGCGGCACGGAGCCCATCTGCCAGTCGTGGCTGAGCGTCGCGGGGCACAGCAGCAGCCAGCAGTTGAACGCCGCCAGGTAGCAGAACGTCAGGAACCTGCGGCACACGCGGGCCCTTGCGTTACTCTTACAACACAATCTTACAACAGTAGTTGAACGCCACCAGGTAGCAGAACGTCAGGAACCTGCGGCACACGCGGGCTCTTGCGTTACTCTTAGAACACAATCTTACAACAGCAGCTGAACGCCGCCAGGTAGCAGAACGTCAGAAATCAGCAACGCACTTGGTCCCATACATAAATCGTACAATAAAATCTTACAACAGCCGTTGAACGTTGCCAAGTGGGAGAGTGTGACACATACGTTCACATACAATAAGTACAATATTCTTACAAATGAATACTACAGAAGCAGCCTGCAATATATATCCCAGTACCAATACATTACCCCATATAGAATATTTCTTACCTAACATATCTCCTCGGTTTCATCGTCAAATCCTGCATTCCCATGCCCCAATTGCCCCTTCCCTCCACTCCGTTCCCGCCAACGAGCGCACGCAGCGCCCAACGCTTCCTTCCCGTCGCTCCAAGACTGCCCTTTCGTTTTTCAATCTCTTTCGTCCTCGGCCGCCCGGACTAATCTCTCGTTCCGATAAAAGCCCCGCGCCGCCACGCCGACCTTCCGAAGTAGTCCTCTGTCTTCCTGTACTTTCCCCTTTCCGCCCTCATTATCCTCTTTATGTCTTTTGTGCCGCCGCCGTCGCCGCCACCTCTGTTTCGATCGCGCGCGGCGGTCGCGGAAACAAAGCGGCTTCCCTCGCTGGCGGCGGCGGCGGCGGCGGCGGCGGTGGTGGTGGTGGTGGTGGTGGGTGTGGTGGTGGTGGAGGCGATGGTGGCGGCGGAGGGTGGCCGGCGCGGGTGGGCGCGGTGGAGGCGGCGGCGGCGTGGTGGAGGCGGTGGTTGGCGGTGCTCTGCGGGTGCAGCGGCGGAGACGCCGGTGGTGGCGGCGGATAGTGGGGGGGGCGCGTGGTGGTGTCGGTGTGGCGGCTGCGCTGGCGGCGGTGGTCAGAGGCGGCGCGCGGCGGGGGCTGTGGTGGTGGTGTGGTAGTGGTGGGTGGCGGAGGCGGGAGACGTTGGGGCGGCGGAGCAACAGCGGGGGCGGGGACGGGCGGGGCGGCGGCGCAGAGGCGGCGGGGCGGCGGCGGCGTGTAGTGGTGGTGGGGTGGTGGTGGTGGTGGTGGTGGCGGCGGTCGGTGGCGGCGTGTGTGGCCGGTGGTGGCTGCGCGGCGGCGGAGGCGGTGGAGGTGGCGGTGGTGGTGGCGGTGGCGGCGGCGGTTGTTTCGATGGCGCGCGGCGGCGGCCCGGCGGCGGCCGGGGGGGTGGTGGTGGTGGTGGTGGTGGTGGTTGGTGGTGGTGTGGTGTGCCGCTCCTAGTATGTGGTGGCGGCGACGGCGGCGGCGGAGGCCGCCGAGGCGATGGTGACGGCGGAGGCAGCAGCAGGAGCGAGGACGGTGGCGGGGCGTCGTCGGCAAGGGGGGGGGGCAGCGCCCAGCGTAAGCCGTAGGATGACGGGAGGGCGTGCAGGAAGGCGCGGTGTAAGAAAGAGCTGGCTCCTTAAGCGGCTGTTGTCAGCTGCAGATGTAAACCTGAGGTACATGTGAAGGTATGTACGAAACACGATACATCACGTCTCTGAGGACCTATTTAAGAAATATCTTAATGTCTGTCACTTTTCGCTTTATATAAAATTAAAAATATTAAACTGAATGAAATGAAAATGTTTTAGTTCTCCTAAAGATTGTTTTAATGTTAATGTCGTTTGGGAATATATATACTGGGCCATTTCGTACTCTCTGAAAATTTTCTTTTATAATGGTGAAGCTCATTTATAAACCAAGATACATTTTGATCACACTGTTTGGAAGTTATAAATATTTGATAATTTTTTTACACTTAACATTAGTTTAGTTAAACAAAGAAACTAGGTAGGTAACAGAGAATGTTGACAAAATTTTGACTTTCGCGTTCTTATCACTTATCATTATTTACTGAAATTGAACTCTTCAAACACTTAAAATATTACTGGTACATATTCCCACTACATATTACATACTTGTACAACATTACGAAAAACCTGCTTAGGTGTTTGTCGTCATTTGATGTCACTGTATATCGGAGGGTTTTAGAGTTGGAGTCTCCACAGAGGCAGGATTTTCGATACTAGCTATATGCTTGGGTCGAAACAGGCGCTATCTGGAGGATAATTCTATCATCGGCTGCTCGAATTGGTAGTTTTCCGTGGTCTCTTCGATTAACACCACGTTAACGGTGTAGCCGTACCCTACAAAACGGGCCATAGACCGCGAGACATTCGTTCGTCTGCCTTGTCCTATCCTCACCCCTTTCGTACTCACACATGTACAAACACTACACTATCACACACGTCAGGAAACCACAGAGTTGCTTAGATCTTGCCCTGGCTGGGACAGTGCCCCGATTGGGAGAGAGCTCTTTGGGGAAATCCTCACAACCTCGACTTGTAGGTTGACGCCGGAAGTAGCCATCCACCAGAGGAAGAACACCGCCAGCTCTCGCGATAAAAATCTTGCACTTCACTTACGAAGTCCAGTGCTTAGCAGTTTTTCAGAAACACTAATAAATTAGTTATACTAAAAAAATAAATAATGCAAGAGAACAAGGAATACATTGCGAACATTCCAAATACTAGTATAATAATTGAAGCTATATACAATCAGTCTTCTAATTTATAAGATTCTTCCATAGACCTTTGAAATACAGAGATTTAAATAAATCAACAGTTAATGCTTTGAAATAACGTAAACAAATATAGCTGATGAATATCAAAAGACCTGTAAATGCTTTCCGTACCTGTAAATTGTTCCAAGCGGGTACATTTTCCTCAGACAATTTAGGTAATTGGTTCTTCGATTCATAAGGTTAATAATAAGGAATGCCTTTTCCACAGCATTTCCATTCCCTGCTTTTCAAGTCAACAATTCATGGCTGGGCGTGTCTGACTCACACGGAACGGAGATTGTCCGCTGAGCACTCTGACGGTGAGACCGTAAATTTCTCAGTTGGAAGCACAAGGCGACGAGTTTGTAATCGAAAGCAGGGTTCAGCACTACGTTATGAACCGAAAACTAAAAGCACGATATTTGGACTATAGAACAGGTTCGAAAATTGCAATTTGATAATAAATTTTGACGAAATTATATTAGCGGTTTCTCAAGTTTGGAAGGTAAAATGTACCGAAAGGTTTATTTCTTGCTGCTTGCTTTTTGAAATATAGAATACTGCACGGTACGTGTCATCGAGAAGCTCGAAGCATCGAGAGAAACAACACAGGATTAAGTCCTGGTTATTGAGAATAAAATATATCTTTGGGTTTGAGTTGATATCTTTCATAACCCGTTTGAAAAAGTTCCCAGAATTTATTGACTAAAAGATATAAATAATTTTCTATTACGTATTTCATTCTTACAAAACCAAGTCATCACAATAATATGTCTATTAAATTCATTAATGTTTACACACGTCAGTCGTCAATTCCCATCATACTTCGTCATATGATGCAGAAAACACTGCATTTTTTTGTTACTCGAAATGGGACACGCGCAAATTGTTCAAGAAATTTCAAAATATGAAAGGGCAAATCTATTGAGCAAGGAATCATACCTCTGAAGAAGATCTGAAACTCTAATTAACATTGAATAAATGGTATTGCAAAAGAATGTTGTTATTTTCAATTAATTGAAATCAATCTTAACGGTTACAAATTCTGCAGTAAAAAAATCATCAAGTTGGTTTTCGAAATTATTTTGTTAATGACTTTATGTTCAACTATTGTTTTAAACTAGTTCGTTAGGAATAATGTCATCTCTTATTCCAAGGTAATCTACACAAGTTATCATACATTATACGCAACGTTTATTGCGTTTTTGTTTCAGCGCCTTGGCAAGTCGAAAGGGCAAAATAAAATGTACAAGTCAATCTTAATTATGATAAATTAAATATACAAAATCAATCGCGGTTAGTTAATGTCAATCGTAAAATAGTAGTAGTTTCGTGAAATGATAAGTGAAGTAATAATTTAATTATTGGTAAATACTACTCGCTCTTGGGAAATTCTCAGATAAATTTACTTGTCGGTTTGCAACTCGTCAATTTCCTACGAGAATCTTCTAAGTACACAGATGATATTAATGGTAAGTAACACAGCTAATGTATCTTCCAGTACGTTGGTAAGTAATACGCTAATACACCTTCTACTGCCTTGCAAGCGAGCTTGAAATCTGCTCACACAGAGATTGTAGTGTTTTGTTCCTGAGGACGTCTATGCATCTGCAAATTCTCGGAAGAGAGAATATTGCATTTGATGAACACTACCCACTCATTATCTTCCAGTACACGGTTCTTCCCATAAGGAGAATGAATGCTGCCCGATAGAATAAGGCTCATTCACCTTGATCTGCGAATCACTAGAAATAGGAAAGTGTAGCTATCTTATTACCCCGTATTTCAAGATATATCAGTAGCTTCTGGAAACAATTTATAGTTGCAGTCTGTAAAACAATGAAAACATTAATCACAAAACTATTACGGATTAAGCATATTTATATTTTTGAAAAACTAAATCTAAAATTCCTATTAAACTTGCATAAAATATTTTCGAATACTTTTTACACGAAATATCTTTAGGTGTAAGGTGTTCTAAATGTAAAAGTTATGAGAGGTAGTAAGCATGAAAACCATTGCACCAGCATTTCTTATTTTCTGGGATCTATACTCTAAACCATAAACAAGTTCAACTCTGAACACAGATGGACACGCGCGTTTTTGGCAAAAATAGATATGAAAATATTAGTTACCGTTTAATAAAAACTATTTGCAAAAGCATAGCAGCCACAGATTTTAGCTAGTACCCCTCACCGTGCCCTTCATGAAGGTAACGACTTACTGCCACAAAAAGATGGATAACGTTAATTTGAATAGCTATATTTCTCACTGAAATCAAGTAACGTGCACAGATAGTGACGCCAATTATTGAGTAAATCGACTATTGGTGCTATCA